TATTATAGGTGTGTAAACTCAGCAAAATATTCTAAAAGAGTCCAGTAGCCCATAATAGCATTGGGTCTTCTGTTTAACTGGCAATGTCAGAATTCATTTTTATTTTAGACAATTTTTATTGTTATATTCATTTAAATTTATAAATAATTTATTTACGATGTGCAATCTATTATTAATCTATGCTATGTATTCATTTCAGAAATATTTCTCTAAAATTCACTCTGTCTACATCTCATATCTTTCACATTTCAGTATTTGTCTACAATTTTTAATATGCTATATAATTATTGTTTTTCAATAAAGTTAATGAGAAAATAAAAAACAAAGAGAAAAAAAGAAAAAAAATCAAGCCTATCTGTAAAATTGGCATAACCATGAAAATACCGATAAATATGTAGAAGAAGAGCTCATTTCAACTCAGAGATATATTAACAATGGAAAATAAGTAAGGTCAAGATACTTACCCATCCTCAGTTTCTTTTAGTAAACGACTAGCAATTCTGATCAGCATGCAGTAAGCAAACTGTGACTTGAGACCAGATTTGGTAAACTTATTTAACATCTTGGAAACAGCAAGACGATCATTCTTTCGAAGATGATATAGGACTCCCAAAGCATGATACTGAAAAACAAGAAAACAAAGATGGCACATGGACTAGAAAAAAGACAAAACAAAAAAAACTTGTAAGAAAATAGAGTTACAGAGTAACATGGAGCTAAATAAAAGATATTTTATAAAAAGAAATCCAACTCAAATGTAGATAGGATATGTATTTTTCACAGTGAACTAAACACAGGCATGACCAAGATGATAAGAAGTTATAATTTATCCCAGAAGATGTAAATTTATATTGGACAGGTAATCAAGAGATGATATAAAAACTGAAGATGGTTCTAGCAGGTTCAACACTGGCCCAAATATACTCAACCAAGGCTTTACCAGTGTTATATGTCTCATTTATTCATTAATATTTATTTTGAGATAGGCTCTTACCATGCTACCTACATCAGTGCTGAACTCATGGGCTAAAATGATAGTCCTGCTATGCATCACCATGCCTGGTTACAGGTCTCTTCTAGTGGCTTTAAATCATGTGTGACCACCTTAAGAGTTACAGGATTAAGCTCCTAAAGTAGGCTAACAGAGTATTATCACAACACTTTCTATAAACACATAGTAAGACTTAGAAGAGTGACAGTGTCCAAGAGAAGTTATTACTGTATTTCCTTATAATTAAATTTGCTGGTGTGGAAGAGATTCCGGCTACCCTGCACAGGCAGGACATACCGGTTCCAGCCCAGCCACAGCAAGGTTGAGACCCTCTTCCAAACCCTTGGGACACCACCCAACCACTCCGCAGCACCTCCCCCAGCCCTCCCGCCGACTACGAATTTCTGCCACATTCCAGGAACCCTCAGATCCAGTCCTAGCCCAGGCCCAGTGAGTGTATGGGAGAGCTTCCGGCTATCCAGCGCCAGCTGGACCTAACGGTACCAGCCCAGGCGCACCTTGGGTGAGACCCTCATTCATGCCCTTGGTATACCCCCCACCACTCCGTAGTAACCCCCTAGCCCCGCCCACCGAGTAGGAATTTCTGTCGCATTCAGGGAACCCCCAGATCCAGTCCTAGCTCAGGCCCAGTGAGTGTGTGGAAGAGCTGCCTCTCCCATCTGCTCTACTTTGTTCCCTCCAGACTCAGCTCAGGCCTGGCATAAACGCCTGGGGTGAAACCCTGCAGCTGCAATCCCTGCAGAGAGTGTAGAGGATAGAACTACCCAGCTAGTCCAGGAGCAGAAAATCTTGCCAGAGGAGCAGAACAAGTTCACTCCCAAAGACTGCAGCAGAAAGGAGCTGAGCACAGCAGCCAGACCCAGGCCAGGCACAACTGAATAAATTCAAACTTTGTAGATCTG